TGCCACCGTTGCCTGCAGTCCAAACCTTGAATTAGAAAATGTGCCACACCGTATAGGAATGAATGTCCTATACAAGTGGGCACCATGGTGGCTAGCAAATGTTAACACCCTCGCTTGGTGTGCAGGACGTCGTGGGTTCGATACCGACCCTGACGCCTGCTGTATATTTGGAGTTTTCGTGTCTCTCTCCCCGTGGCCGCGTGGATTTTTATCCAGATCCTCCGAACACTCGTTTCATAACCAACAAATGATCAATGAAGCTTGTATATGCGTGTGTGTATTCATGACTGAAACATAAAACGTAATTTAATTTTCACTACCAGAATCGTGATGAGTACTCGTTCTACCAGACTGCCCGTATCGACCCACAGACTGTGTTCAACCACTTCCTCACCTACTCATCCACTCGCACACCCACTCACCACACTGCAGCTCGCAACAATACACTCACCCACTCGCTCACCTACTCACCCACTGACTCACCCACTCGCTCACCCACTCACCACGCTACAGCTCACAATAACACAATTGCTCATACACCCCCTCATTCATCCACACCCCCTGACCACACTGCAGCTCACAACACACTCACCCACTCACCACACTGCACCTCACGACACACTCACACACCCCTTACCCATCCACTCACTCCTTAAATCACCCCACTCACCACACTGCAGCTCACAACATACTCAACCACTCACACAACCCGTCACTCATCCACTCACTCCTTAACTCACCCACCCACTCACCACACTGCAGCTCACAACAACACACTCACCCCTCATTCACCCACTCACCACACTCCAGTTCACAACAACACATTCACCTACTCATCCACGAACTCGCTCACCCACTCACCACACTGCAGTTCACAACAACACATTTACCTACTCATCCACGAACTCACTCACCCACTCACCACACTGCAGCTCACAACAACACACTCACCCCTCATTCACCCACTCACCACACTGCAGTTCACAACAACACATTTACCTACTCATCCACGAACTCACTCACCCACTCAACACACTGCAGTTCACAACAACACATTCACCTACTCATCCACGCACTCGCTCACCCACTCACCACACTGCAACTCACAACACCACATTCACCTACTCATCCACGCACTCGCTCACCTCACTTCTCTTCCTGCTTCTTCCCTCGCACCGCTCTACTTTGGAATTCCCTCTCCCATCCCCCCCTCCCCCAAGTGTTAATAATAATTACATTATTTCATATCAAGCGACCAGTCAACTCTCTGTTACAACTCGGATCGTGCTGTGCGTTTTTTTTTTTGCTGGCCACGTGACATTTTGGGACTTTAAGGCCTGCGCTGAGCAATTGTGTGCATAGAAAGCCCTCAAAAATGGTGAGCGTGTCTTCTGTAGGGCATTTATTTACCTATTGATTTTTTTTGCTTCTTCCAGCTGTTCACGTTCATGAGGTTGACCTGAAGAGCGTTGGTGAGATTCTCATCCTCCTGTCGTCGGTTCGTTTACGATTCAAATGACTGCAACAGCTCAACGATCAACTACTAAACTCTTTTTTTTCGCCAGGTAAGGCCCCACTGAACTACGACAGCTATTTTTTCAACAAAGTGGCTTATCATCATGTGGAGATTTATAGCAGCCGAATACTCTCAACGCGTGACGTTGATTCTAAATGTGGAGGGAAAAACCAGAGGACCCGGAGAAAAATCTACGCGATCAAGGGGAGAGAGAGACACACACACACGCAAACTACAAATATACAGCAGGGGTCAGGGTTGGGATCGAACCCACGACGTCCTGTATAACAAGCGAGGTAGTTAACATCTCCTAGCCACCGCAGCGCGCCCATGCTCTCTGCTCGAGCTCACTCCAACAGAGAGAGCACTGTCACCCTTGGTGCTGTCTCTGAGCCTGAGGAATGAACAGCAATGGAGTAGTGGAGCAGTGGAGTAGTGGAGCAGTGAGAGCAGTGAGAGCAGTGAGAGCAGTGGAGCAGTGAGGGCAGTGAGAGTAGTGGAGCAGTGGACCAGTGAGAGTAGTGGAGCAGTGAGAGCAATGGAGCAGTGAGAGCAGTGAGAGCAGTGAGAGCAGTGAGAGCAGTGAGAGCAGTGGAGCAGTGGAGCAGTGAGAGCAGTGGAGTAGTGGAGCAGTGGAGCAGTGAGAGCAGTGGAGCAGTGAGAGCAGTGGAGTAGTGGAGCAGTGGAGTAGTGGAGTAGTGGAGCAGTGAGAGCAGTGGAGCAGTGAGAGCAGTGAGAGCAGTGGAGCAGTGGAGCAGTGGAGCAGTGAGAGCAGTGGAGCAGTGGAGCAGTGAGAGCAGTGGAGCAGTGAGAGCAGTGGAGTAGTGGAGCAGTGAGAGCAGTGGAGCAGTGAGAGCAGTGGAGCAGTGGAGCAGTGAGAGCAGTGGAGCAGTGGAGCAGTGAGAGCAGTGGAGCAGTGAGAGCAGTGGAGCAGTGGAGTAGTGGAGCAGTGGAGCAGTGAGAGCAGTGGAGCAGTGAGAGCAGTGGAGTAGTGGAGCAGTGAGAGCAGTGGAGCAGTGAGAGCAGTGGAGCAGTGGAGCAGTGAGAGCAGTGGAGCAGTGGAGCAGTGAGAGCAGTGGAGCAGTGGAGCAGTGAGAGCAGCGGGGCAGCGGAGCAGTGAGAGCAGTGGAACAGTGGAGCAGTGAGAGCAGTGGAGCAGTGGAGCAGTGGAGCAGTGAGAGCAGTGGAGCAGTGGAGCAGTGGAGCAGTGGAGTAGTGGAGCAGTGAGAGCAGTGGAGCAGTGGAGCAGTGGAGCAGTGAGAGCAGTGGAGCAGTGGATCAGTGAGAGCAGTGGAGCAGTGGAGCAGTGAGAGCAGTGGAGCAGTGAGAGCAGTAGAGCAGTGGAGCAGTGAAGCAGTGAGAGCAGTAGAGTAGTGGAGCAGTGAGAGCAGTGGAGCAGTGGAATAGTGGAGCAGTGAGAATATTGGAGTCGTTAGTGCAGTGCCGCAGTGTGAACAGTGGAGGAGCTGTCCACCTGGGTGGTGGTGCTGAAGCGCGCTGACCACGGACACGTGACTGGGCATCCCCCCCCCCCCCCCACACAATGACAAAGATCCCCCTCATAGCCTAACAGACTGTTGGGGTAAGTGCTGTAAGAAAGTAGCACCTATGAAGGTCGGCACGGCACGCGAGGGGATGTGGGTAGGTGGTCAGCACCACGCCCGACCGCCTTTGTCTCCCCAGTGGCGATGTTAACACACCACCAAATGTACTCATTAAAGGCCGAGTCGACCTAGGGGAGGAGGCCCAAGATCGGTTTAGATAATCGTCACTGGTGTTGGTCGTGAGCAAAAATCAAACTCCGGTCGCACCCCACACTCCCCTCATATACATCCAACTCCTCACACACTCTACTACCCACACACCACATACACCACTCCCCACACACCCCAATCACACTCCACTCCCCACACACCACACGCACCCCAATCACACTCCACTCCCCACACATCACACACACCCCAATCACACTCCACTCCCCAAAAACCACACACACCCCAATCACACTCCACTCCCCACACACCACAACACACCCCAATCACACACCACACACACCCAATCACACTCCACTCCCCAAACACCACACAAACCCCAATCACACTCCACTCCCCACACACCGCAACACACCCCAATAACACCCAACACATACCCCAATCACATTCCACTCCCCACACACCACACACACCCAAATCACACTCCACTCCCCACACACCACAACACACCCCAATCACACACCACACATACCCCAATCACACTCCACTCCCCACACACCACAAACACCCCAATCACACTCCACTCCCCACACACCGCACACACCCCAATCACACTCCACTCCCCACACACCACACACACCCCAATCACACTCCACTCCCCACACACCGCACACACCCCAATCACACTCCACTCCCCACACACCGCACACACCCCAATCACACTCTACTCCCCACACACCACACACATCCCAATCACACTCCACTCCCCACACACCACACACATCCCAATCACACTCCACTCCCCACACACCGCACACACCCCAATCACACTCTACTCCCCACAAACCAAACACCCCCATCACACTCCACTCCCCACACACCACAACACACCCCAATCACACTCCACTCCCCACACACCGCACACACCCCAATCACACACCACACACACCCCAATCACACTCCACTCTCCACACACCACACAAACCCCAATCACACTCCACTCCCCACACACCGCACACACCCCAATCACACTCCCCTCCCCACACACCGCACACACCCCAATCACACTCCCCACACACCGCACACACCCCAATCACACTCCCCTCCCCACACACCGCACACACCCCAATCACACTCCACTCCCCACACACCACAACACACCCCAATCACACTCCACTCCCCACACACCACACAAACCCCAATCACACTCCACTTCCCACACACCACAACACACCCCAATCACACTCCACTCCCCAAACACCACACAAACCCCAATCACACTACCCTCCCCACACACGAAACACCCCCAATCACACTCCACTCCCCACACACCACACACAACACACCCAAATCACACTCCACTCCCCACACACCGCAACACACCCCAATCACACTCCCGTCCCCACACACCACACACACCCCAATCACACTCCACTCCCCACACCCCAATTACACTCCACTCCCCACACACCACACACAGCCCAATCACACTTCACTCCCCACACACCGCACACAGCCCAATCACACTCCACTCCCCACACACCACACACACCCCAATCACACTCCACTCCCCACACACCGCACACACCCCAATCACAATCCCGTCCCCACGCACCGCACACACCCCACTGCCCAATTCGAGCTGTGCTGGCTTGCGCTCCCCTCTCGAAACCTGTAAACCGGAAGAACATCTCAGGGGCGCGAGCTCGAGACAGACGGCGCTGTGCGCGTGAGCCGAGCAGGAGCAGCAGGATCAAGAGGAGCGGCGCTCGCTGCTGCTGATGTCAAGACCGGGAAACAGAGTCGCCTCTATCTCCCGCGGCGGCAGACCCGATAGGGCGCTATTGCTCATTGGCAGCAGCGGCACCGTCACCGTGGCCAACTCTGCCTCCCCCGCTGCCGTGCTGCTGCTGTTGTTGTGTCGTTGTGGCGGCGCGTGGTAGCGGTGCGGGGTGGCCGCACGCCCGCCCGAGACACGAGCACGACTCCTCGTGTCGTGCGCGCTCCTCGCCCCGGCCGGCCAGACGAGGAGCTGTTTGAGATTGCGCGCGTGTAGCAGCCCCTCGTGCTGTGCGCGCGGTACCAGCCGGCTGGTGGCCGTGGTGGTTCCGAGTCTGCACTTCTCTACGACTACATTGATTCGTCATCCGGATTAGATTTCGCTTTCGTCCGCTGTCGGTCGCCCGCTGACTGCAGTGGCTGTGGACTGCCGCGACTGCCGCGTGGTGGATCGCACCGATACAGTCCATGGGCCGTGGTTTTGGAATATGCGGTAGGAGATTGAGACTCGCTTAAGCTCGGGCATGGTGCTTGGAGCGCAGCAGCTGCAGCAGCAGCAGTGGCGGTAGGGATTTAGCGGATTTGTACCCGCACTGAGCCACTGTTCTCCGCGTGTGCGCAGCAGCAACATCACCATCATCCGGAGCAGCAGCCACAGCATCCTCATCATTCGTGGCAGCAGGAGTAGCGACATCAGCAGGAGCATAATCAGGAGCAGCATCATTAGTCGCAGCAGTAGCAGCAATATCAACATCAGAAGCACCGTCAGTCGCAACAGCATATCATCATCTCTAGCACCAGCAGCATCGTCAGTCATCGTTATTAGTCGCCACAGGAGCAGAACACATCAGCAGCATCATCAATCTCAGCAGCGCCATCAGTAGCATCGTCAGTAGCATCGTCATATTTAGGAGCAGCAGCAACATCAGCAGCATCAGTAACAGCAGCATCAGTAGCAGCATCGTCGGTATCAGTAGCACCATCAGTAGCATCGTTAGTAGCATCATCAGCCTCACGACAGAAGGGGCCGCAGCGTGTATAAGGTGTGTGTGTGTGCACGGTGTGTGTGTGCACGGTGTGTGTGTGCGCACTGTGTGTGTGTGTTCCTGGGGAGTGCGTCCCGCCCGGACCTCTCCCTGTGTTGTTTTTGGCCACGCTTTGCTATTTCAATAATTCAGGCGCTACTGCTGCCTGCGCTCGCCGTACAACGTACTGCGAATACGAGAGTGTGTGTGTCTATGAGAGAGTGTGTGTATATGTCTATGAGAGTGTATGTCTATGAGAGCGTGTTTGTATCTATGAGAGTGTGTGTCTATGAGAGTGTGTGTGTCTATGAGTGTGTGTGTGTGTGTCTATGAAAGCACGTGTGTGTGTCTATGAGAGTGTGTGTATGTCTATTAGAGTGTGTGTGTCTAACAACCGCCATTCGCCACCCAGTGGCGGTGACGTCACCACGGCGCTTGTGCCAGGCGATGTGCACGTTAAAGCCACGTGAAGTGTCGAACACCCGCTGGCAGGTCACAGGGCAGACCCAGGTGTCATGGGTCGACTGACGGTTGTTGTGTGTCTATGAGTGTGTGTGTGTGTGTCTATGAGAGTGTTAGGGTCTCTATGAGAGTGTGTGTGTGTCTATGAGAGTGTGTGTGTTTCTATTGGAGGGAGCGGTAGTGTAGTAGTTATCACGCTGCGCTACGAACCTGGCGACCCGGGGTTCGGTTCCCGCTCACGGCCAACGCCAGTGACGATTATCTGAATCGGTCCTGAGCCTCCCCTAGATCGACTCAGCCACTAGGAAGACAAAGGCGGCCGGGCGTAGGGTTGGCCACCCACCCCCTCGTGTGCTGTGCCAGCCTTCATAGGTTCTCGCTAACAGCACTTGCCCCAACAGTCTGTTACAGGCTATACGGGGGGTCTTTGTGTGTCTACGAGAGAGTGTGTGTTTTGTATATTTCACAGTTTTTTTTCTCTCCGAGTGCAACGGTTGACCCTACATGCTGCACGGGCATTAGCACTATTTCGGTAGCAAAGTTATCTTTTTTTGTTCTTAGAATTGTCCGGGTTTTTATTTGCAGCGATGTGTTTCGTGTGTGTGACTTACATTTTTACGTCCGCCACTGCGCTATTTAAACCTCGATGGCTTCGTGCTCAATAGAATTGGGCCGGCGTACGTAATTGCATCGTAATCATCGTCATTCATCCCGATGTCGGTCGTTGAGGCGGTGGTGGCGGTGGTAGCCGCGCTATAAAAGTGGGAAACGCCAGCTGCCTTTGCCCCTCGGCATCCCGTGGCCATGGACTGCGGTTGAGGTGGGCCCCCCTCTCACCCCCCCACCACCCAATCCAACCCGCCTCTCTCTCTCTCGTGGCTTTGCCACGGATAACTCAATTCCGAAGAGCGGGCTCCGGGCCGGCCACATGTGCTTCGCGTCGAGGCGAGTATCGATGCGGGCGAGGCGACAAGCGAACGGCATGGTCCTTCTGCTCGCGACGCACCTCGCGGCGGCCAACATGAGCGGTGGCGGTGGCGGTGGCAGCAGCAGCATCGACCCTCCTCCCGGGAAGTGCCCGCAGCGCCAACTCGGTGTGCCCCTACCCACTGCGCATAACAAGAGGAGGCATCGCCACGTCGTCAGCGGCGGCGGAGGAGGAGGGGGGACAGGCGGCGGACATCACCACCACCACCGCGATGCGCCGGCGATGGTGGCTTGCGCGGGCTGCCAGAACGAGTGGGCGGCTTCGTTCCCCAGCACCCCCTCCTCGGAGCAGCTCGGCGCAAAGAAATGCGGTGGAGCGAGTGGAGCTGGTGGTGGTGCTGGTGGTGCTGGCGGCGGCGGTGGCGGTGGAGCTGGCAAGACGCAGCACGCGGCCGACACGTGCTCGCTCAGCAGCAGCGACAGCAGCAGCCACTCACCGCTGTGCCGCATCTGCTTCCAGGGCCAGGAGCAGGTAAGAGACCCCTCGCGACCCCTCGCGACCCCAGAATCGCGGTCGGTGCGGCAGCCACGCAGCGCTCCCGAGTTGGAGGGGGGACGCGACCCCATCACGCACGGTGGCTTACGGAGCGCAATAAGTTGAAAGTACACGCGTAAATACATACTGCGTGGTAGACGACAGTCTGACTGTGTGGTAGACGACAGTCTGACTGCGTGGTAGACAACAGTCTAAATGCGTGGTAGACGAAAGTCTGACTGTGGTAGACGACAGTCTGAATGTGTGGTAGACGACAGTCTGAATGTGTGGTAGACGACAGTCTGACTGTGGTAGACGACAGTCTGACTGTGTGGTAGACGACAGTCTGACTGTGGTAGACGACAGTCTGACTGTGCGATAGACGACAGTCTGAATGTGTGGTAGACGACAGTCTGACTGTGTGGTAGACGACAGTCTGACTGCGTGGTAGACAACAGTCTAAATGCGTGGTAGACGAAAGTCTGACTGTGGTAGACGACAGTCTGAATGTGTGGTAGACGACAGTCTGACTGTGTGATAGACGACAGTCTGACTGTGGTAGACGACAGTCTGACTGTGGTAGACGACAGTCTGACTGTGCGATAGACGACAGTCTGAATGTGTGGTAGACGACAGTCTGACTGCGTGGTAGATGACAGTCTGACTGCGTGGTAGACGACAGTCTGACTGTGCGATAGACGACAGTCTGACTGTGCGATAGACGACAGTCTGACTGTGGTAGACGACAGTCTGACTGTGCGATAGACGACAGTCTGACTGTGCGGTAGATGACAGTCTGACTGCGTGGTAGACGACAGTCTGACTGTGATAGACGACAGTCTGACTGTGTGATAGACGACAGTCTGACTGTGTGGTAGACGACAGTCTGACTGCGTGGTAGACGACAGTCTGACTGCGTGGTAGACGACAGTCTGACTGTGTGATAGACGACAGTCTGACTGTGGTAGACGACAGTCTGACTGCGTGGTAGACGACAGTCTGACTGCGTGGTAGACGACAGTCTGACTGTGGTAGACGACAGTCTGACTGCGTGGTAGACGACAGTCTGACTGTGATAGACGACAGTTTGACTGTGGTAGACGACAGTCTGACTGCGTGGTAGACGACAGTCTGACTGCGTGGTAGACGACAGTCTGACTGCGTGATAGACGACAGTCTGACTGCGTGGTAGACGACAGTCTGACTGCGTGGTAGACGACAGTCTGACTGTGTGATAGACGACAGTCTGACTGTGATAGACGACAGTTTGACTGTGGTAGACGACAGTCTGACTGCGTGGTAGACGTCAGTCTGACTGTGTGATAGACGACAGTCTGACTGTGGTAGACGACAGTCTGACTGCGTGGTAGACGACAGTCTGACTGTGGTAGACGACAGTCTGACTGCGTGATAGACGACAGTCTGACTGTGTGATAGACGACAGTCTGGCTGTGGTAGACGACAGTCTGACTGTGTGGTAGACGACAGTCTGACTGCGTGATAGACGACAGCCTGACTGCGTGGTAGACGACAGTCTGACTGCGTGATAGACGACAGTCTGACTGCGTGGTAGACGACAGTCTGACTGTGGTAGAGGACAGTCTGAATGTGTGGTAGACGACAGTCTGACTGCGTGATAGACGACAGTCTGACTGCGTGGTAGACGACAGTCTGACTGTGGTAGAGGACAGTCTGAATGTGTAGTAGACGACAGTCTGACTGCGTGATAGACGACAGTCTGATTGTGTGGTAGACGACAGCCTGACTGTGTGGTAGACGACAGCCTGACTGTGTGGTAGACGACAGTCTGACTGTGGTAGACGACAGTCTGACTGTGTGGTAGACGACAGTCTGACTGCGTGATAGACGACAGTCTGACTGCGTGATAGACGACAGTCTGACTGCGTGGTAGACGACAGTCTGACTGTGGTAGAGGACAGTCTGAATGTGTGGTAGACGACAGTCTGAATGTGTGGTAGACGACAGCCTGATTGTGTGGTAGACGACAGTCTGACTGTGTGGTAGATAGTTCTGTTTGTTGTTGGGCATTTGGGCCTACGCTCAGCAACTGTGATAAAAACAACCCAGCAAATGTGCTGTGTGTCTTCTGTCGGGTTATTTGTGTTGTTGTATGTATCGTTAATGTTGCGTGTGTGAGATGTGCTTGTCAATGAAGTTGCCTCGAAGAGTGTTGATCCTCATCCTCCTGTAGTCGGGTCGTTTACGATTCAATTGGCTGCAACAGCTCTCACTCCAGCAGAGAGGACATGAGCCCTGGGAACCGACAGCAGAGAGATATCAGCCTCACGCGGTTAGGCCTATTAAGACCTATGACAGGTTGACTTTACCGCAATGTAACCTGGATTTGAACTTACGTCAGCGCGAATGGTCGGCTCGCCTGCTGCTGCTATGTACACTCGGGGCGTGACGAGCATTGCACCGCAAAGAGATTTTTCGTGTTCATTGGAAACGCAGCACAGGAACACGCGGAGTGCCTGCCGCTGGTGTCCCTTCTTCAACACCACGCAAGGTTCTGTGCCCGTGTTGGGATGCGCCGGTGTTTGGGACGCGCCACTGTTTGGGATCTGTCATTGGGTTGCGCCACTGTTTGGGGCGTGCCAGAGTGTGCGTGTGTCACTTGCTCCTGTTCCGCGAATCGATCACATTCATTGTGACGGTGGCCCCAACACGAGGAGGAGCTCCTACGAGCCGCGTGAAGGCGACGCCGATGGGTTCCTGCACAAAGGGCCGAGCTCCGTCCAACAGCGGCGTCGCTGCTCTCTGTGTGCGCGCTGAGTGCAGCACAGGGCTCTTCTCCTGTCGGGGCACCGGGGCCTCTCTAATTGCCACTGCAATGTTCACGAGACGCTGGCCTCCTGGCTGGCCGGCCTTCTGGCTGGCCGACCTTCTGGCTGGCCGGCCTCCTGGCTGGCCGGCCTCCTGGCTGGCCGGCCTCCTGGCTGGCTGGCCGGCCTCCTGGCTGGCTGGCCGGCCTCCTGGCTGGCTGGCCGGCCTCCTGGCTGGCTGGCCGGCCTCCTGGCTGGCTGGCCGGCCTCCTGGCTGGCTGGCCGGCCTCCTGGCTGGCTGGCCGGCCTCCTGGCTGGCTGGCCGGCCTCTGGCTGGCCGGCCTCCTGGCTGGCTGGCCGGCCTCCTGGCTGGCTGGCTCAGTGCTTGCTGTGACTGTCGCATGCACCTGCTAACCTTTGCCCGTCGCTTACAATAAGTACCGCACGTATAATTGGCCAGGCCCAAATCGATGCTTAATTTACAACGCAACAAGTCGTGCAAAACAATTGCGTTGCGGTTAACCTCCGCGATTAATTAAATAGAGCTAATTGGGTCTCGGACTCACTATGAATCAGGTATTTTCTTGTTAGTCAATTAAATAATTGACCAAGCAAGCAGCATAACTCGTCACCTAATTAGCTTAGGAATTACAACGCAGTTGTTGCGTCTTGTCATGTTTTTTTTTGCGAACCTACGGGGGGTTTTTGTTGGGACTTGCGCTGTACGTTGTCTCACCCCCCCCCCCCTCTGCCTGCATACCCCCACGTTCCCCTGTACCCCGACGTACTCCCACGTACCCCCACGTAAACCCCACGTACACCCCACGTTCCCCGAGTCAAACGTTTGTGCTGGGTTTGTTTCGCCCGGACGCGATCTCACCGGAGACAAAAGGAACCGCGAGGGAGTCTCGTGAGGTCGAAAGAGCATTCCGGCACCGTGTCGGGATCATCGTTGTCAGTCAAAGGAGACGTTTCCCAAGGCACTGTGAATGATTGTTTGTACGCATGCATGTTGAACCTCTTTAACACCGTACGTAGTTAACCGTGCTAATCGGAGGTGCGAGGGAAGGACAACAAACTAAACACAAAAAGCAGTTTTAAATAAATGAATTTGTCAATTTAGATGATTAATAAGTATAACCCGTAAAAACAAAGTTTTTCACTCTAAATCCTTTATATGCGTGACGGCTAGAGTCCTCTCGTCCTCTGGCTTGAGATGGCTGCCACCTATGGGTCAGATGATTGTCTGCAGTATTAAACAATTGGTAATTAAATATTTAATTAGTTTTCCCTAAACAGTGTAAAATTTTGGAATTTTTTTTTCACGAAAATTAATTGTCTCGCACAACGAGTCTGTGCAAAATGTCAGCTCGATTGGATAACGGGAAGTGGGTTAAAAAACGACCGAAAGGTTTGCACGGTCGTAAGCAAGCAAACAAGCACGCAAGCAAGCGAATTTAATATAAAGGATTTAAAAAGCACATAGCTCCCAGTGGCTTCCGAATATCGGCAGAAAGAACATTCCAGACGACCGCAGGAAGTGCATCTGAAAGAGCGGCGCGATGCAGTCGCCGTCTTTGTTCGATGGCCAGCCAAAAGCCGCTGCTGCTGATGCTGCGAGGATGACCGGAGTTTGCGTGACGATTGCTTATAGCTCCTTGACAAGATCATCAGGGTATTGTGGTTCATTCGTGGAAAGCACTGTGTGTAATGAGCGTGACCTTCTAGTGCTTGCCACAGACAAATGCTTCTATTATTTACAGATAATGTATTTAGATCAGGCGTGCCCAAAAAAAACGTCGCACGAATGTTTGTTGGATGTATGTTGTACGTTTGTATGTGGAATCTCTTTCGCACCGTACGTAGCCAACCGTGCTAATCAACAAAACGAGGGGCGTCACGGTGGCGAGATGTTAACTACTTCTCCTGGTATACAGGAGGTCGTGGGTTCGATCCCAACCCTGACGCCTGCTGCTGTATATTTGGAGTTTGCGTGTCTCTCTCATCATCATCACGGTGCCTAGGAGATGTTAACTACCTCGCCTGGCATACAGGAGGTCGTGGGTTCGATCCCAACCCTGCCGCCTGCTGCTGTATATTTGGAGTTTGCATGTCTCTCTCCCCCGTGGTCGCGTGGATTTTTCTCTAGCTCCTCCGGGTTTTCCCCCCTCCACATTTGGAAATCAATGTTGCGTGCTCGCGAGAATTTGG